CCAATACACATCCACAAATCTCGCAGAGAATAATCTGCAAGAGTAGATCCAATCTTTCAGGTGTACAACTAGGGTCAGAGGTCACCTGCACAGCTTTCTTTTCATTCATTAGGTTTCAGTGTTTAATTTAACTACCTTGTTACCCTTTTGTGGTTTTTATCAAGCATATTACAGCTTGATAGCCTTCTGACTGTTACTGGTGAACAGCTTTCCATCTACTCCTCAGCAGTCCCAGAAGCTGTTCATGGGGTCACTGGGAGGGAAGTGTTTAACAGTGTACTACAGTCTCCTGTCGGTTCCTCTCCCCAGACAAAATTGACTTCCTAGGAATAAAAATCTTTCCGTATTAGCCTGACATATTTATCAGAACCCTCCAGTATATTTATATCAACGCAGCTTGCTGCTACATAGTGAAGGGCCAAGTTCTCCACCCAATAAATCCATTTCACCACGGCAGTACAATTATCTTACAAGTTTCCAAAGATTTGGCATCAATTTTCTGAAGTCCAGGTCCTAGACGGAGGTTATTAGCATAAAACCAAAGAGAAAAAGGAAACTTATTAAAAGTAAAGGGTTTAGTGCTCCCTTTAAGAAAATCTTAGAAACATGAATCTTATGACTCACTCTGTAGATCTATCCTGGTGGGATCTCACATTTTGAAACTCTTTTGAAAGAACGACAATACAAGGGTAGAAAGTTAGTACTAATAAACACAAAGCAAATGGAAGACAGACACTGGATGGCAACAAAATAGTAGGGAGGGAGAAACAACTTGGCATTTTACAAAAGAGGTAGACTTTCATCCTGCCTCTTTAGTAACCAGTAAGAGTAATAGAAGCAACAACTCCTTTGGGAATGCACACAAGGATAGACACTGAGGAGAAGGTCAATAAGGACATTGTCCTATTTTTATGGGTAATTCCTGGGTAATGGCTCTGCTTACTATTTTAGTTTTGCATTAAAATGCTCAATTTGTCTGCTTTGCACAAAAATAAACTGAACGTTAATAAGAAAATCCTTCTTTGGAGAGCAGCCTGTAACAGAATAAGTAAACACCCAACAGGTTACTATCCAAAAATCAAGGGGAATTTTGCCAGATGAAAAAACTAGAAAGCACAATTGAGGATTATTAAGTCCCACATCACTACCAGATGATGCTTGGAGACACACGGCTGCTTATGTGTAACATACCTAAAAGATGGCTTTTAAATTGTGCCCCAGGGTAGTCAGGAAATCATAGTCAGCTCCTTTAGTGAACACCAGTATTTCAAAGAACGTTAGTCTGGGTACCTGAACATTCATGACAGATTTCTCCACATGCTGATCTTGGCCAACAGTGGGAGGGAATCATTTACATACCTCCAACCCAGAGAGCTGCACAAGGGCAATGTTGACTCCATCTAGTTTATGTCCTTGGGCTTTGGACTATGCAGGGTCAGAGCAGGTAAGGAGCAAGCAGACAGCTTCAGATAAAACTGTATTAAATCACTATTGAAATAAGGATTCGTTATGTTTGGGATTTTACGTATTTTTATGTCCTTTTCTTGGTGGTCTGAAGAGTCAAGACTGTGAGCAAAATTGCTCAGAAAGACCTTTTAGAAAGAACTGGCTAGAGTAATTCTCCAGTAAAGAAAATATGTTCCACCTTCTTCATCCCCAAGTAACATGTTTGTCCATCCTGTATTATGCTTTGCTGTCTTTCACTTAGAGTTAAAAATTATAATTTCAGATTTACCACTATATTCCAGGTAACTATGTACACAGTCTGCACATCCTAACAGACCGCTCGATTACCCTCAATCTCTGTTAATTAAGCTTTTCATTTTCCAAACTGTATTCTAATACATTTGGATCATGAAAACAAAATCTTTATAAACATTAAGTTGATTCAACAAAATAAAATATTAACAAAGATGCATTTATCATCATTGTAGTGTAAATCCTGTCCATCATATGATGATATAAATTAATAAATCTCTACTTGTTGCAAAATATCTATTTATACAACAAAACAGCATATCTGAATTACTGATTTCAAGAAAAGTGGTATTCATCTTATTTTAATACCTTTCGTTTGAGAGCTCCATGCTATTAATGGAAAATAAAAACCTGCTAAAACTTCTAGAGAAATGAAATATAAACCATGCATTCCATGCATGGTGATCATCTCTAGTACTCACATCATGCAAAACTGCCTTTTGAGCTAGTTACAGTGGCATAGGTCACTTGAAATATGTATGTGTGTGTGTTGCTTGGAATAAAACCTATTTGTCAACTATCAAAACTGCACAACAAAAAACCCATGTCTCATAAAGATATGAACTATTGTACCAACAGGTAACATGGCTTTTATTCAGGTGTTGCTGACCCTCTGAATGTTCTGAAGCCCCAAAGTTTAACCACTTTTGGTATGCCGATAAGTTAAAAAACATTATGTCCTTAACTACAAAAGCTCCTATTTTGTGCATGAGGAAAGAGTTCTTGGCTTTTTCATAATCAAATACTATGCTGGTTAGGTATAAAAAGGTAATAAATGTACCTTTATACTTATTCCCATGTGTCTAAATCATGCTGAAACATAATGATGTTTATTACTATTATCTTTGCATTGTCTGTTTTCATATCCAGCAACATCTTAAAACAAGATTTCCCCTTGCCAAAGGCCTGCACGCATCTCAACTCATGTGCAAAGCTCCAGTGACCTAAGCAGTTACAGTAACACTAAAAAATACCAAGCTGAAAGTTCTGCTATTGCATTGATCACAATGTAAGCAGGGGCCAAATCTTTGCTCTCCACGCCTCACAATGCTAAAAAGTATTTTCTGCACTGTCATTCATTTCATTAATTTCTGTCATTACAGACCTAACGGTCTGAAAGCACTATCATTATCAAGGTCCAAGTAGCAACTTAAGAGACAGTGACTGTTTTAAGTCATAAACAATGAGTTCAGAAAAGCAAGACAATCGCAGTAATTCATCTGACATTCATAATCTAACAGCAGTCATCGGAAACACTGGGGGTGCCTGTTTTGACTCTTACATAGAGCTACACAGACTGAAACTACCTCAGAACTATAAAGGCTTAAGTGAGACTAGCACCCAATCCTTCAACTGTGTGTGCTTTTAAACATGTGTCTATTAATTTGACATGCTACTACTCCTGCATAGCACATCTCCCTACAAGCCTCTGTGTCTGCCCATCAAGACAGAGGGGTTAAGTAGCTAAATTCAGAAGAAGCAATATCTAAAAATCCACGTGCCTTACACTGTATAATCATCAGTGCCTGTCTGCTTTGACCTTGAATTTTGCTGAGTACATGCATGTGTCCCTGCATCTGACAGTGTTGCTCTGTCAACGGCTCTCCTCAAGGTCCTTTTTCTCTTCAATGAAAATAAAAATAAAACCCCCTTAACATGGCAAACTGATCCTCACAATCATGACTTCAGAGGGATACAATGGCCTGGAAAAGCTTGGAGGAATTAAAAAGTAATGACAAAAGCAATGATAGGGTGAAAGGAGGAAAACAGGAAGAGTTGGAGGGAGGGATCCTTGTGAAACATAAAACAATATTCTTCTGTATTGAGACAATGGCCTTGAAACTGAGAAAGAATAAAGTAAAAGAAAGAGACCATTAAGAAAGTAGAGGTGACAGAAAAGTATGATGATAAAATAAGAAAGTAGTGGAGTCCTCCCCTTAGCTACAGACATCTCTGCTGCTCTGGCAAAAGCCATCATTGACGATTTGGTCATCATAAAGCCAGTCTTCTCCTTCACAGGCTTTTTCAACAAGAGGAATGAAAGGAGGCTAAAAGTTGTGTATCATGTACATGATAAAATTAACTACCAATAGGATTCTTCTTTCTTTTTTTTTTTCCCCTAAAAGAAATGCCACAGAATGACTGGCATTATGTTTGAAATAGGAGCAGCCAAAGAACATCCTGTTACTTGTATTACAACAGGAAGTCAGGCTAGGTACAAAGTCCTTTGAGCCCTAAAAAATTATGAAGAAAGCATTCACAAAGCTACAAGCAGGAGACATACAGAAGCATGAACAGCTTAATTGCTGAATCTCAAAAAAAGAAAACATATTATTTATAAATATTTTTTTTCACTACAAGAGAGACATTGAGGTGGTGGAGCAGGTCCAGAGAAGAGCAACGAAGCTGGTGAAGGGCCTGGAACACAAGTGTGATGAGGAACAGCTGAGGGTCCTGGAGAAGAGAAGGCTCATGGAGACCTTACCGCTCTCTACAACTACCTGAAAGGAGGCTGTAGCGAGGTGGGTTTAGTCTCTTCTCCCAAGGAACAAGTGACAGGAGAAGAGTAAATGGCCCCAAGCTGTGCAGGGGGACGTTTAGACTGGACATTACAAATAATTTCCTTTCTGAGAGAGTGACAGGGCATTGGAACAGGCTGCCCAGGAAAATGGTGGAGTCACCATCCCTGGAAGTGTACACCATGTAGACAAAGCCCTTAGTGACACAGTTTAGAGGTGGCCTTGGCATTTCTGAGGGAAAGGTTGGATCTGATGACCTTAAAGGTCTTTTCCAACCTAGTTGATTCTGTGATTTCATTCTAAATATTATAAAACATAGCGAAACAGGAAACATACCAGTTTAACTTGTATGAAAAAGCAAACTCAAAGCACAGATGATAAACCACTAAGGGAAATGGAATTACAAGGTTTGTAACTTCCAAAGTATATTGCATCCATACTACATTGGTTTGATCTTCCCATCTAAAAGACCAGGCTACAGAAATAATGCATTCCTCCTATGACAAAAGGGAAAAAAAAACAAAACAAAACAGACAAACAAACAAGACTACAAAAAAAAAAAAAAAAACCAAAACAACTAGGAAAAAAACAGCAAATTACAGACTATGAAGAAAGGTTTTAACTTTCATGCCAGATCTACTGTTTCAACATGTCAAAACAGACCAGTAGGCACTCAGTCTTTTATGTTGCTACCACTACAGAAGAAAAGCAATTTCCTCTTACCTGTGCTCTAACTCTCGGATGGACAGTAGAACTCCAGAAGTTGATGCCTTCTGTTGCAGGGTGGCCAAAAACGTGAACTCGCTTTTATTCCAGAAGAGCTGAATTAACTTCTCACTCACGTGGGGTGGTGTGTGGATTTCTCTTTCTACATCTAAGGAAGAAGGAAACAGTCCAGTAAAAACGCTAAGCCAGAAAGATTCAGATTATATTTTTCATTTCCCCATCAGTATTTTTCATCTACCACGCTCCACCACTACATTTGTTCCATGAAAAAAAACAAATGTCATCTCTCTCAGCCTGTCCACTTGTCAGAACTGGTCACCTCCTGATCTTCTGACAGGATTTTTAACAGGATGCTGAGCCCTTTGTGCCTGCTGCAAGCAGATTAAGTTGCTGTAAATAAGGTGTGCTGCAGTCAGATAAATAGGCTACTGAATTCAGAGAAATCTCAGGCACTGCCTCTCCCAGCACCAGTTTCAGTTTTCACCACTGACTCCGTTACTACCTCTCCATCGTACATCAGAGGAAACCTGTCCTTGGCTGTGTAAGGCAGAGATGTATTATTGCTGTTAAAGCCATATGGCTGTGCTTATGCCCAAGAAATAAATACAACACAGTTGCAATCCACTTTCAATCACAATTTCAGGGATTTCTCAGTTTAAACAAAGCATGACAGTTCCTACAGTATTTATTAAACTACAGTCTGACCAAGCAGATCCAGAAATAATTCAGTCTCCCTGATCCTGCTGATGTCCAAGCAGCAGCAAACCTTCTTGTATTTTATCTTCTAAGATTCAGATGGCCACCTCCCACCACATTCATTTTTATGGCATCCTTTTATTCACAATACCCCATTGCTATAAAAGATGATTAACGACAAAAGGGAGAAATCACATTTCACCTTCCCACCCCTTGCCATATCTCTCATGCTGGGCATTTGTCGCACATTTGCAAGACCTGTGCCACTTGCAGATCCTGGATGTCACAACCAATTAGAAGCCCGGTGTGCTTCCTTCCAAAAGGTTTACTTTGAAGCCAGAAATACTGGCACAAATTCTCAGCTGGTAGAAAACCATGTAACTCTACTGAATCCAGAGAATCAGGCTGTAACACATAAAGGAGTCATGAGATTTACAATTCAGAATTTCACTGTAGGAAAATGACAAAAAAAACAACAACAAAAAAAAGGCCATTGTGTCATTAAATGAGGCTTTGAAGACAGAGAGGAGAGACTGGCTTAAAAAACATCCTGAAACTCAAAAATGCGACTACTGGAGGAATCCCATGGACTAAAACCAAACTCTAAGGCAAAAGTATTCAAGAATGTTTTGTAATTGTGTGTCTCATTTTTTCCTGTGCAGCTCAAAGCCATCCAAATGAGCCTACACACTCAGAATCCATAACTTTTCACACTTGCAATGTGAAAAGCTCATCTCTGAAAATAACTGCAAATTTGATATCAAAAATCACTAGGATTCATTTAAAAACCTTTGCTAGAGGCTCAAATTCACCTGATAAACAAACATAATGCCCACGTTACAGCATCAAACTATTTGTCTGTCCAATGCCACTTTGATCATAGCAGAGGATAAAGCTTCAAAAAACAGAAATAATTTCCACTGCCACCAGGAAGGGGAATGGAGGAATAAACCTTTAGCACAGAAAACCAGATTTTGTCTTTATCCAGAAGATTTCATTATCTGTATCATTCTCTTCACCTAGCAGGTGTTATTACTGGCCATAAATACTACCTAGTTTCTTAACAAAAACATCTGATGAGGGAGATACTACAGCAAATTCTCCGATATCCAGTTTGCTATCTATACAGGCAGACAATCCACTGGTACTAAGTTCCAAGGTACAAGTAAGACTCAGATATAAAACATCCAACAGCTGACCGTTGAAGATAATTATTCTTGTTTTGAAGATTAAGAACCTTTGTATCTTATCAAATTTTGTATTTATTTTCTTAAAGGTGTCACTATTGCCAGAAATGAAAAATGAGAAAACAAAATTCTTCTCTGTAATGATGGTGATGCCCTGGCACAGGCTGCCCAGAGAAGCTGTGGCTGCCCCGTCCCTGGCAGTGTCCAAGTCAGGTTGGATGGGGCTTGGAGCAACCTGGTCTAGTGGAAGGAGTCCCTGGCCGTGGCAGGGGGTTGGAACTTTATACCATGAGGATGAGCTTTAAGGTCCCTTCCAAACCAAACCATTCTGTGATTCTATGATTCTATGACTTATCAAAGCCTTCAAAGCTTCTTTCACATGAAATCACAGGCAGTGCTGTCAGTGGAATAGATGTATGTTCATACATCTGTATGGAACAGATGTATGACAAAACTTCAGTCAAGCCTTGCAAAGTCCAATATTTTCTCATTGTTGGAGGACCCAGAAAGAAAACCACATCCTGCCATCTATCCACCAAAACTTAAACAAAAATATAGGTCTCCTTGGTCAGAACCATGAATGAATAATCAATGGACTGACTACTGTAGTGAAAAACATCTTTTGAAATGTGTACTATACCATATGTTCTTCATACTCATGAATACATCAAAACCACATGCAACACCTTCTATTCATTCTCTATTACTAAAATCAGTAAGATCCAAAGTTCCAACATTACAGAATCTTGGGCTCAAACTGCTACAAAATTAACAGTATTTACACACTGCTTTGCAGCAATATGCCAGTATTATTTTTACGAAGAAAGTTATATAACTTTTAAAAACTAACACACTCCTAAATATGGTGCTATTTAATTGGAATAGCTCTACTGACTACCAGTGCCTAGGAACACTCAGTACTGGTAGACAACTCAAAATCATACTAGCAGGTACAGAATCCCCTACAGAAAGGCTGTTTGTGATAACTCAGCCTCAGTAACTACAGCAAGGGGGCTTCCCCAGCAACTACATGGTGAGATGGCAAAGGTGACCTGACGGCCTGTGAATAGGCGTACAAGCTGAGGAGCCCACCAAGGCTCCAAAGAGCACACGACCTGGCATTTCAGGTCAGCCTTCTGGAGTGCCAAGCACAGCCCTTGGCTTGCAACCAAGGGCCCGAATGCTGGGAAGGAACTGCATGAGGCCTTGTTGAGGGCATGAGAACATACTGCATCACTCCAACTCCTGCCCCTCTGGCAGTGCCCCTCTTCATACCATGTGATCACTGCATATGTCATCTGCTTGTATTTTCCTCCATTTCTGCAGAAAGTACCATACAAATGAACTGGGAACATAACCCATTTAAAGTAAGAGATTTCTATTCTCAGGCTGACTTTTACACTTTAAAAAAAAAAAAAAAGAAAAATTAAGAATACATACACCCCCTCACAACAGGTGCCTGAAAGGGAAAATACTTTTTATGCTCTCTATAAATTTAACTATCTACTTGTAATGAAATGCTGTATTTCCTACATAATATAGAACAATATAGGTTTATACAGTAAGATTCAGTGAAACATTGCTTCATGCTTGAATGATAATGCAATCTCAGCAAAATAAATAAACATACACAGATACAAGTTTTATATGCCCTTCTATGTGATTATATTTTCTTAATTTGAAATACTATCTGGATGAGGAGGGTTAAACATACCAGAACACTTCCAAAATTAAGCAAGCAAAAAAAGCAAGCATACACAGTTATTTTAAAGTACAACAGATAAAAATCATCTCAGAGCATCAAAGCAACTTTCTACCTTCAGCAAAACAGAGTTCTTGCTAGACTCACTTGGATGATGCTGTCAATCCATGATACAATGGCAAGCACATGACCATCTGGGCTGGAGTTTTAAGCGATGAAAATGTGGACCAGTTCCTACAAGTTGAATCCCAATCCATCTGGGAAATCATTTTTCTTTAAGCAGACACTTCCAGGAGAGGAAAAATACTAAAATTCAGTTCTAAATTGACTCATGTTTTCTAAAGCAACAGATACAGAATCATGGAATGGTTTGGGTTGGAAAGAACCTTAAGATAATTAAGAATTGCTGAGGTGAGCAGCTTGAGAGAGGACGCCTTGAACACCGGAGTGGGGGAGATCAGCGTCCAGGAGCCCCAACTCAGAGCGACAAGAGCAGAGCCACCGAGGGAGCCTCAAGTCCTCGACAGGACCTGCCCACGAGCCGGCAGCTCAGCTCCCGCGAGCAGGGACTCACAGGGGGCGGAGCCAGGAGGAACGACGCCAGCCCTGATTGGTTAAAAACCTGCCTCAGGGAGAGCGGGGAGGCAGTTTGCGCGGCAGTTCGAGCGGGATGGTGAGCACTCGCTGTACGACCAGGGCCCGGTGTGGGAGCTCTGCTCTGGCTGCCCCGGCGGTGGCCACCGTAGGCACTCAGACAGAGCCGATGAGAGGGGAGGCTGCAGTGCAGACTCTGGGGTGTAGAGAGTGCCTGCACTGCTCTGGTGAGGGAAAGGTAGGCAATGGGCAGGGCTGCACTCGGTGCTCCCTGGTGGAGGTTCTCCTGCAGCAGGTGACTGAGCTGCAGGAAGCTATTAATAAGCTACAAGATGTCAGGGTAGCTGAGAGGAAGCTCCCTGCCCAAACTGTGCAGAGTCCTCAAGCTTCCCCTGTACCTCATGGAGGAAAGAAGGAGGTTGTTAACCCTTGAAGCTGGGAATTGGTGACAAAAAGAAAACAACAAAGAAAAGGAGGAAAAGGACAATTAAAAGCAAGGGACTTCCTCCTGAACCTGTTGCCCCCACGCAGAACCGCTTTGCTGTCCTGCAGGGAGCTCATGAGGAAACGCACTTGCGCCAGAAACAGCCGGCTGATGCACTAGTAAAGATTTCTACTGGTGCTGCCAGGAAAAAGCGGTGGGTCATAGTGGTAGGGGACTCTACTTTGAAAGGGACAGAAGCACTCGTCTGTCGGCCTAACCCGGTGTCACGGGAGGTGTGTTGCCTACCAGGGGCACGGATCAGGGATGTGGCAGAGAGGCTGCCTGCTCTGGTAAGCCCCACGGACTACTACCCACTTCTGGCGATACATGTGGGTGCTAGGGATATAGATAGTGGTAGCCTGGGGAACATAAAGAAGAACTACAGAGCCCTGGCAGAGGTGGTTAGGGGCTCTGGAGCTCAGATAGTCTTTTCGTCTATTCTCCAGGATACAGGGGAGGACCTAAAAAAAAGCTAGGAGGATTAG